CTAAGGACCCACTCAAGAAGGACGCTGTTGCACCGGGACAGCCATGGCTCTGTGTCCATGCGGAACAAGGTGTGAAACCTGGTGTGACTGCCCTGCGATGCATGCCTGTCTTCATCGCTACAACTTGGTAAATACACTCACCACCTTGAGCGACCGTGCCGTACCTATCTGCTGGTGTGCCTCTTGCCTGCATCTGTAGGTGCTTGCCAAGTGCTGCCTCAGTGAGCTGTGGTGCCAAGATGTGTGGGTGCAGCCGGGTTTGCTGTTGGGGTCAAAGCCGATCAGTGGTATACATCTCACAGGCAGGTTCTTGGAGAAGCTCGTGGCCATCAAGCTCAACAACAACGTGGAACTCACTGCATTCGATAGCAACAAGCCTAAGACATCACAGGCCTGCTGGTTCATCACCCGGAGATGCAACTCCAGCGACAAAATGTGGGCGGGGAAGGTGCTGGGCTTGTACCGCTATAGGTCGCCATTGAACAGGGATAAGTTTGATGTGGTGCTGGAGGTCGAATGGCATGCTCCCCTGCTGGGGAACAACAGTGATGCCGAAGTTGCAGTCGACCAGTTCATGAATGTCCCCTTGGTGGACGCCAGGGCTGCCAGTGTGTCCAACACAGGCTCTCGTTACTACCTGGCTGAGGATGTTGCGCCTTGCCGAGTGCACATCTTGCCACACCCCAGTAAGCGGGGCGCCCTGTGTGTTCTGTCAAGAAGCTACAGCTTCATGCGGGTGGCTGGCTGGGAGGCCCTGCAGCCGCAGACCCCATGGGCGAGGTCACGGTAGCAGCACATTAATATTAGCGCTGCAAGACCTCTGAATCCCTTGTGGCTTGCTCTTGAGGGGCAATCGTTAGTAACACATTGGTGGAGTGGAGGGCAAATCGTGGGGACTGGTGGGCATGGTCGCCCAGGCCCTCGAATGGTCGGACCGTGGCCTGGGCAGGGCTTCTCAATGAAGGTAAAGCTGATGGTATGGCTGATGGATAACCGAATGAATGTTGTGCACAGGGACGTATTGTGAAGTAATAGGTAATGGGAGTGGCACATTACTATGCAAATCGACAGAAATTGCTTGGGGCCCGTTCCATACGTTGACTGACTAAATCCTTCGTTGGATAGTTGATTGTTGGGGCATGTCTGCTTCGCTTGTATACTGGGGCGACTTTCTGGTGCCAGCCAGTACTAGTTTTCGAAGGGTCTTACCCCCGGGTCCAGAGCAGTAGGGGCCCTCATGGTCGGTCTTGTGGATGATTTCAGCACTATGAACTTATTTCAGAATACAGGACTGACTCTCTGTTTCCTGCTTGAACTATACATGGAAGGGGCAAACCACTGTAACTTGTGCGTGTTTCTGCTAAGTTTTCCGCACTGTTTGCATTCTCAAAGCCATTCTTTCGTAAAACCGTCATAAGAATGCTTGAGACTGGCATAAGATCATTCTCAGCAGCACCAGCATTCTCAAGCCGTTCTTAGCATTCTTAGCGTTCTCAGGAACATTCTTTAGCACGCTTCCATTTTGGTAGGGTGACGTGGAGATCTTGCAGTGGCACAGGTACCCTTGTAGCAGAGGTGGCGGTGATATGTGCGTCACTTGTCCTGCACGCGTGTAACGAGCACCAATGGCAATTGCTACACCTGCTGAGTAGCGATCCTTGCCAGAGCTACGTGGTTTCGAGCTGCAGTAGAGCCTGTATCCCTGCGGTTCTTTGCGTATGGCGTCCTTCATCCATCCGGTGCGGTTGCCAGTTTTGGTTTCCGTCAGGACAATGATATCAGCAGCCCAAGTCTGCATATTGCACAGTGTACTGAGGAAGTTCGTCGCCAGTCCTCGCACGTTGTGAGTGACAATGTGCAGGTACCGGGGGTCCGTTTTATTGCAGTGTTCTGAGGGATTTGCATTCTCCGGATGGGGAGATGTGTTGTTGTTTACGGGAGTGGTCGACAGTCTTGGGCGTTTGACGTTGGGTTCACTGGCGTTCTCATTTTCCCTTGTTGTGTGTATCGTTTTTCCGGGGTGGTCAGCCTCGGCTGGGTTGGTACGTTTGTTGGCCCACCGCCGGAGGTGGTCCATGATAGTCGGCGGTTTGGGTCTGTTGCATTGCGCGTCCGTGGGTAGGGTACGCGGCGGCTTGGCTCGTATCCTGGTTCCCGTGGTTCACGGGGCATCAGTTGTGGTGTCGCGTGGCCGCGGGAGGGTAATTCCAGTGCGCCCGGTATGTCGTGTTTGGTGGGGGCGTTCATGCGAGTCTTCCTCTAAGGGGGGTGGGAGTGGCGCGACTGTCGGATTGGTTGCTGGTCGGTGGTCATTGTCGTGTGCAGTCGGCTGCGGTGGTATCCATGTTCCTGGTGACTCAGTTAGTGTTTTCATAGTTTGATGGGTTAATTGCACTGCACGTAGGTGTTTGATCTTCCGCCGCTTTTGGCCTTGTGGTACCCTCGTTGTTGTGCGCGTGGTCCCGTTGGGTGTTGTTTGGATCTCCGTGTTCTCGGTGTGAGCTGTGCACATCCAGGTGTCCGGGGGGGTTATGTCTCTCAGGTCTACGTGGGTTGCCGTGGGTTCTGTGTGGTGCCGGAGGTTTAGGGTGTATATTGCGCCGGTTTCACGTGGCCACGTGGTGTTTTCGTCACCGAGTTCCACAGGTTTCGGTTGCAGAGAGTCATGAATGTACCACCGATCCTTGTGCTTTCGTACTGCGATTGCATGGCCTGTGAGGTGTACGATGAAGCCCCAGTTGCGTGCGTGTTCTGGCAGCTGATGAAGTACGCTGCTTAACGTCGCGTTGGGTTTTATTTCCTGTCCACTCCCTATGGAGGCGACATGCGGGTGTGCGGGGTCATTTCTTTGCTGTGCAGTTCGAACCGGCACGTTGTAGCGGAGGTATGGGTTGATTGCCAGTGTTGAGAAGTTGCCGGTGTTTTGGTTGTGGGTTAGTCGCCACGTGGCGGCTGCATTGTGGAGTCCCCAGTCGGCCATGTGCTGAAGCATTGCACGGCAGTACTGCAGTACATGTTGTGGGTTGATGTACGGTCCTCCTAGTAGGTTGTTTATGGCGTGGATCATGCAGAGCTCTTTCTGTTGTTGCTCGTGATATAGAGAGCCGTCTGAGTTGTGCGGGTTTGTCGTTATTGGCCACGTCACTTGTTTTGGTGGGGTCCCAGGTCCTGTTAGCAGCCATGTTGGCGTGCTGGCGTGGGGGCAGGGTAGCTCGGTTTGTGTGGTTTCTTCTGGTGGGCCCGCACAGTGGGTGCTGTCCGCTTGTTCAGAGCGCCTCATTATCTCAGGGGCGGAGTTTCCATTCCACCTGGTAATCGTAATCAGTGTAACAACGAGGGTCATAGCGGTGCCCACCAGCATGTTCTGCGGTATCGCCAGGCCGACTATCAGGCAGATGTTTATCAGCCAGCGCGCATGTCCCCTCAGCTCCGGTATGAGATTTAGCCCTTTATCTATAGTGGGGATACTGATCGCCAGAATGGGGGCCATCGGGGCTGCTGTGGCGAGATGTAGGCATAACATGACCAGCGCGGCCACTGACACTATCATCTGTCTAATCACCCCCGGGTGTTGGTATGCCCAGTAGCTGGTGTCAGCAGTATGGGCCACACAGGCGAGAGCGAGGTCGATGGCTGCTGGTATGGCGCAGGTAGTTATTCGTTTAGTGAAGTGTCGAATTACCCAAATCAATCCTGTCGTCTGCACTACCAGGGAGATTGCAGTGTCCAGGGGCCATATCGCTATCACGAGTGCTAGGGGGCCCCAAAGAATAATCATGAGTAGAACTGCGTTACTAGTCTGAGGTATTATTTCCCACATGTTCATACCTCGGCGAGTGGTGGTTCTGTAAATCTTACGAACGGTACACAGGACTCCCATGCTCGCTACAGCCATACAGACAATGAGAGCGATTACGGCAAGCACGTACCGAGTGCCTGTCCAGGCTGTACAGG